GGTCCCAAAGTCCTTGCAAGCTCCACAGGGACACAAAGTCCTTGCAAATCCCATTGTCCCCAGATCTTTGTGAGCTCCATGGGGTCCCAAAGTCCCTACAAACTCCACAGGGACACAAAGTCCTTGCAGATCCCATTGTCCCCAGATCTTTGTGAGCTCCATGGGGTCCCAGAGTTCTTGCAAGTTCCACAATATCCCCAAATCTCTGCAAGCTTCGTGGAGCCCCGAAATCTTTGCGAGCTCCAAGGGGTCCCAAAGTCTTCGCAGGCTCCATGGCTCCCAAAATCTTTGCAAGCTCCATGGGAACTCCAAATCTTTGCAAGATCCACGGGGTCCCAAACTCTTCTCAGAGCCCTCAAAGTCCTTGCAAGCTCCCTGAGGGCTCAAAGTCTTTGCAAGCCCCACAGAGCCCCAAAGTCTTTGCAAGCTCCGCAGCAATCCAAAGTCCTTGCAAGCTCCTCAGGGACCCAAAGCCTTCGCAAGTTCCAAGCTCCAGGCTCCCCAAAGTCTTTGCAGGCCCCAGAGAGCCCCCAAATCCTCACAAGCTTCAAGGGCCCCCCCCAAAGCCCTTGCACGGGGGGCCTCCACCGAGTGCTCTTCCCCGCAGGCGACCAGCTGCTCAGCGCCCGCGTCTTCTTCGAGAACGTGCGCGCCGAGGATGCGGCGCGGCTGCTGCAGTGCGCGCAGCCCTGCAAGGTCTCCTTGTGCCTCAAGCGCACCGTGGCGAGCAGCGAGGCCGCCGTGCAGCCCGGCGCCGCGGCCGACGGCAAGGGGCCCAAGGCGAAGGTGGCCCGGCTGGTAGGTGCCGCGGGGATGGTGGAGCCGGGACTCCTTCCCGTTCCCGGGGAAGCCGGCTGCAAAGATGCGTCCGGAGCCGTTCCCGGTTGTGTGTGAGGAGGGGTTGCACGCAGGGAGGTTGAATGCAGCTTGCATGCAGGGAGGTTGCATGGGAGGAGGAGGTTGCATGGGAGGAGGAGGCGTCATGCAGGGAGGAGGCTGAACGCAGGGAGGACTTTGCGTGCGGGGAGGAGGCTGCACGCAGGGCGGAGGCGGTGTGCAAGGCGGAGGCTGCAGGCAGGGAGGAAATGCAAGCAGGGTGGAGGCTGCATGCGGGGCAGAGGTTACAAGCAGGGAGGTTGCAGCATGCAAGGCGGAGGCTGCAGGCAGGGAGGACATGGGCAGGAGTTTGCAAGCAGGGAGGAGGCTGCATGCAGGGCAGAGATTGCAAGCAGGGAGGTTGCAGCATGCAAGGTGGAGGCGGCATGCAGGGAGGAAATGCAAGCAGGGTGGAGGCTGCATGCAGGGCAGAGATTGCAAGGAGGGAG